GAGAACTAAAAACATGAAGTGTATACTGACAACTATCTCTAAAAAAATCTGAGAGAAATCTCCTGGGAACTCAGAAAAGGCTTGTAGATGGCCTAGTCTCCCCAGACAGACTGTCTCCCCTAGTTTCCCCACTTCAGAACCATGGTTTATTGGGGTTTTTTGTTTTATTTTATTTTATTATTTAATTGAGAAAGAGATTCCCTCTTCCTTGCCCTCCTAACTGTTACAACAACTATATTTGAAATGGCTCTCCTCATGGATCCCTTCACACCGGTATTTTTTAGCAGAAGAGTTGTGGTCAGCAGAATGCAGGAGACACATATGCCAAGAAAGAGTTTCTGGTGCATCTGCAATTAAGTTCCAGTCAGTAGCAACCCAACTGTGTACTCAAAATCACCTGTTACAAAGCTGCCATTATGTCACTGCAACATGAAAAAGTGTGAGGGCTGCACACAACTGAGTATCAGGCTCAGAGTTTTCCAAGACCAGCCTTAAAATGGAGGCATGTAAAAATCAGCAGGTCCTGTTGAAAATTTGGCCATCAACAACTCAGCTGCTATAATAACTACTATAAAATTATAATAATGTGCAAGATTCAGCAACACAATACCTCAAGCTGAATGAGGCTGTAAAAAGAAAATTCACATTTAAAGCACTGTACATTTCTCTGAATGACAAAGAAGATTCTTCATGATTACTATAGCACAGAAAAGATCCACTGTACTTTAAAGTAAAAGATTAAATTCTGGTCTTAGATATGGGTGTATATGGAGGAATTCAGTGAGTTTAAATAAAAAAGAAATCAGAAAGTAAAACCTTTACTTTCTGCCTACTGTTCAAAACCCTCACTCTAAAAATTTAGAGTGGTATTTTAAGTCTCTGCCTGTCAACTGAGGCCTGTTTAATGACTTGTAAATATCTATACTTGGTAAAGAAACACTGGTCCATTGATAATACAGAACAAGTGTACACACTAATGACATCACCATGTCATGGGGTCATCTCCACCTGTTTGTCACCCATATAGCAAAGTTGTAACTTTTTGACCTATTTACCTTCACTGACATTTGAAAACCTATTAGTCAAAAGGCTTAGAGAAATCAAGGTCTCTTAAGGGCTTGGAGATATGTTAATCCTTGACAATCACACCTGCTTTGGCAACTGTAATAACTGATTGTCTATGCAGCTTGGCTGATGGCTTTCGGGTGCTCCTTTCACTAGGAAGAAGGTCAGCTGGGTGACAAGGGGCTAGTTCCTGCCTGTGTGGCATTCCCATTTGCTTCAGAAGGTTATTTGCTAGTAAAAAAATCTGACTCCAGCAAATGACCCATTCATAATTTGCTTGAACCATGTGCTAAAGATCATATCTGGGACAATGATGAGGGTCCCTCGGAACAAAGGAGGAGATAGAAAAATATCGTAAAATGTCTTACCCAAAGCAGAATGTAATTCTGCATCTTCGTTTATAGCAGGCAAATTATCACCAGATACAGTTGTGAATATTACTGGGGAAGCTGTCTGAATGCTGGAAAACATTTCAGCTGAACCTTCATATAATTCATTGGTTGTTCCCATTGAATTCCAAGTGGGAGAAGGTTTGATGTTTTCATTTATCATGTACGGTCCCAAAGAATCAATTAAATACTAAAAATTAGAAATTTAAAAATAAATCACAAACCTCGTCATCACTAAATTATTTCATTACCTTTATATATAATAGATAAACAGTGTTTGCATATTTGTGTACATATAAAAAACACATATGCTATATAAATATTGGCATACAAATATTACCTTTCATTACAACAATAACTAACTACATTTTTTCCCATTAAAATCTCAGCTGCCATTTGCCTACAAACTTTTATTCATTTTTATTTAAAAAAAAAAACCCACCACCTTTTAAAAAATTTCTTAAAATATGGGGTTTATAGTACAGTGACAATTTTAGAGTAAGGCATTTAACTTTAATGCTATATCCTTGGAGTTATATTGAACAGACACACATATGAGCTTGGGAGATTCCATTTGTACTAAGCATGTTCTGAAATAGAGTTGCAGGAACTGAACTTCAGAAGAATGCTTCAGATGTCCCTACTGGGCCCTGAAGAAAAGGAGTAACAGGTTGACTAGATTGCTGAGAGGAAATAAGAGGAGAAGGAGAAAAACAGAAGCTAGTGAAATAAAGGGGAGAGAGAAAATAATGGAGTACCTATGTGAAAAGGGAGAGTGAAAGGAAGGTAATACAGAGGTCGATAGGGCAGAAGGGGCACAAGATAAATGTTGCAAAGAGATGGTGGTAGATATAAGGGGAGTAAGAACTACAAGGAGAGGAACAACAAAAGCAGAAGAAAAGAGAGATGCTGAAGCACAGGTACAAAATCATGTGTAAACACTAGATTATGCCCCTTCAGAATCTGGGACCAAATCCAGGACTCCAGTGTCTCTAAATTGTTCTGCTGTCATCTGTGAACACTCCTCACTCTCACATATGGCCCACTTCACTGCCAGAAAGAGATGCTTTTACGATGATGTAAGTAATACACATTAGCTCTCCCCTACAGACTCTGGGTAGAGAGAAGGCAAAGCAGTTTTTTTTACTGCTGTAACTAGCAGGAGTTAACCACAAGCAGAGATACAGCATCAGTCTCACCTAAGTACCAACAGGTAAAAGATATATATGCCTCACCTTCACCAACATTTTATAGCAAAATAGTAACAACCCATGTGGAAATACGTTATGCGTCTGAGGCTTTTTCACTTACAGCAACCTTTTATTGCTACTAGTTATGGAGCACTGTTAGCACTGTGGATCCAACAGTTCAAATCCTGTAGATGCTCTAAGCTTGGGTCACTGAGGTTCTAAATAAAGTAATGTTTGTTATTATTTGGTTTGTTTTTTAATTAGACAATTACATTCAATAAACTATAATAAAGCAGCAATTATGCTAAACTAAGAACTTAAAAATTAGGAAATCCCATAATTAAAACATGTCTGTGGAGACAATTTTCATTTTTGCTGTGTCTGTACTATGATACAATCTTTAATTACAGTTATATACTTTCATTTTCCAAGGACACCTGCTTGTTTTAATGAAGGAATCATTATCCTCATTGTTTTTACCCCCTTACTCATTATTTAATGTTTGGCTCCAAGGCTCTATTTAATGTATACCATTCAACTTGAAAGCAAAATCCTTCATTGAGCTCTACATCAAAAACTTAGATTCTGGGTCATATCCAGAAAAAGTCATAATTGTCTAAAAAAAAAAATAAAAAGGGAATTATGCAAACTTCGGGCCCCTATGTTCAAAAGTAAAAAAGCAAGACCAAAAAGCCCTACCGCAGAGACCACACGTTTTCTAGGGATCTACAGTTCTGCACTGCCCCATCTAAGCACATAGAGCACATCAGCACCCAAAATCCAGGGGCTAAGAGTGACTCACAGCATACGTCCCTGAAAAGACTTGATCCCGTAGATGTGCAGAGATATCCTAAATATACAATCATAGCGTGTAGTTCAGCATATAATATCAGACATGTAAATTCAAGGACACAAATGGGGGCAGAAAGTCTACGGGTGTTTGCCCTGCAAGCAGATCACTTGATCAGCCTTGGGAGACTTATGTTGAATTCCCCTTCTCCATGTGATTCGTACCCAAATCTTCCAGGAGTTTGCTTGACGGGTTATGTATAGATGTAGGCACCTACATCTGTAATTGTACTGTTACCCTATGCTGCCAATAACTCAAAGGCTAGAAAGGATGGCTGTGGGCTATGGCTTCCTGCTTTCAGTAGCTAAGAAAGTCTGGATCATTCCACTAGAATTATTTCTTGTTTTCATGTTGTGGAAGCAGCATTATTAGAATGCCTTTAAAATTCAGCCAGAGAAAAGAGGGTGAGGTGAGAAAGGTGACTTTTAAAAGCATTGACAACTCATCTGTAGTGGCTAATTCCACATGCTGTACTTAACAGATAAAGCAGAGAAGCAAATTTAATCTAGTAAGGATTAAAAAATATCAAAAAACCCCACCCCACAATTAAATACCTTATTTTTTCCTTCAAGAATAGTGTTTTCCAGAGTCACCTCTGTTTCCTGCACATGTACTTTAACTCTGTATTGGGTAATGATTCCATTTGGTTGTTGTGGCTTCCTCCAAACAATTTTTATATATGTGGCTTCCACTTCTGATAGATGTAAATCTGATACAGCACCTGGTACTAAATATTCAAGAAGAAACTTGATTTAATTAAACATCTCTGATTATTATAAGCTTTATCAGCACTGTGTGCATTTAGTAAAATTTCCTATCCTTATCTTTTCAGTTGCTCCTGCGCAGGTAGAGAGTTACTTCAGGTGAGGGTTTTTTTAGCAAACAATTTACAGATTTTTTGACATATATGTATGAGTCTGGTCAGATCCTAAAATTATGTAAATCCCAATAACTCCACTGAAGTCAGTGCACTAGAAGCAAGCAAACCTCTGCTAACTTTCTGTATGTAACCTCGAATATATTGAAAATGAAAGCTTAATTCTAAATTTATCAAAGCCACAGAAGAGTGAGGCAAAAATCTGGGGAAAAAAATAATGTGATACATGTTGTTCATTTCACTTTTATAGCAAGTTTTGGTTCAATTTCTCCTTTAACTATGCAGTAATAATGATACTGTACTTCATATAGCACTGCCAGAGATCAGAAACATTCATATTAATAAAAAAAAATTCCTAATATGGCACAGTAGAAGACAAACTTGAAATTACTTGCATAATAAAGGTTTGTAGATTCGATGGTAAAATAAGATGTTCTATGTCACTTAAAAAAACCCCAAAACAACAAAAAACCCACAAAACCAAACCAAACCAACCAACTAACCAAAAAAAGCCCCACCAAACAAAAAACTGTACCAAAACCCCTTTGGCTTCTAACAGGGAGTTTAGACAGAGGATGACCGTGGCTATACTGAGGCAGGTCATCTCTGGAAATTGTCTCTGATAAGGATAGGTGTTCCTCTTGCTCTTACACCTTGACAGCAAGCATTGCAGCAATCACTGATCAAGAGATTTGCTTAATTTGTGCTGTGTGGCACAAACATAACACAAAAAAACCCGTCTTGAAATCGTGCCTGCCTATTACACACTGACTTTCAAATTTTTCTGGTTGCATCCTCAGATGTAGACCAAAAATCCTGCACAATCTCACACACGTGTAAGATAAAACTGCATCTCTATTGAGCAAAGGACTCCCATCCCATGAGCGGGCTATTGGGTGCCAAAATCCCACATAACAGAGTAGATGGCTCTGGGACAGAAGCAGCCACTTGATTGCCCCAGGACCAGATCTCGATACTGGGTCTGCCTTGGAGCTATGGTCCCTCCTAAAGTTGGCTCCATTGGAAACTGGCATGGAACCTTGGATTTGGTGAAATTAGTCAAATGAGATTTTAAATAAGAAACATTGGGGGCTGAACAAACCAGTCGGGGATGGGCTGGGGAAATCCTGCGCTGTTCTTTCTCTTCCACTTGCTGCCATCTAACGGATAAAGGGGGCACCTGCAAATTAATTACTGTATCTAAAAATGACTACTTTCATTCAGGCAGAAACTACGGTTCTTTCACAATCTCTGAAGGCTTCTTATAGCAAGCAAATTTAGTGAGAATGTATGAACTCGAAAAAAATGGAGAAATAAATCTACATGATAAATTTTCAGCTAATTTATTTCATTAGCTTATTAACCCTCTCGTAAGACTCTTATAATACATTCACTTTTTCCTTTGCAAAGTGCCTAAAAGGCTTTGAAGGGAAAACTGAAACCAGTTATCATGTGCAGCCCATTTACTTCAATTCTTTATGCTTACTTACCATCTGCAGGAGTGAAAACTGTAAGGTTAGTCTTTGGCCCCACCCCAGCACTTGTCTCAGCACCAACGTACACATTGTATGTTGTAAACGGCACAAGGTTACTAAATACAAACTTAAGATCTTTTGTACTGTTATCCAGAATATGACCTGGAATGAAAAATGAAGAGATTCTAGATCAAAAATGAAACCAGTCCATTATTTTCTTATACTAAATATAGCTACTGTTCTGGATGATGAACAATGAAAAGCCAAATTTACCCGTGGAAAAGCTAATTGGCATCAACCTCATTGGAAAGAACACTGAATGCCTGAAAAATCCCCCCATCCAAACCACCTCAGGAAGATATGGGTATTAAGAGGTGGAGATTTTTTGTTTAGAAACTAATTTCTATTGTTTTCCTGTGTGATCACATAAAACACATTAATACACAGTTCATTTACTACTTACTTAATTACGTGCAGCTATGTAACTTCTTTAAACATACGTGTCTGAGTAAAAGAAATTACAAACCCACCAAAATGTACTCATACAGTTGATTGTATACTATACAGGGATTAAAATCCTCCAGAAATCTTTTAACAGAAAAAGCAAAGAGTGAAGGTAAGGTACAGAATGTTTTTGGAAAGATAAGCACCCTAATTCAGCTGCGAGCTTAGCCTGTCATCTCTCTAAGAGTAAGGAAAGCTGGTTTCCTCCATTAAGAATATCTAATGTTAATTTCATTGTGTATTCTTCCTCATGATGGGCAGACTTTTCCCTTAAAAGTGATATATAAACTATTTAGAAGTCCAATAGTGAAAAGGATACATAGCACTGCTTTCAAATATTCATTCTTGATTGGCAGGGACACTAAGAATGCAAGTGCAAGGAAAAAAATCATAAAAATAAAAAAGGAATAGAAACATCCATTCAGACTTACCAGTTGGTCCATACAGCTCAACTCTGTAACTAAATTTTCCTGTTACTGTGGTTGGTGGGTCCCAAATCACTGAGAAAGACTTTGCTGTAATGTTGCTCTTGGCAAAATTTTGTGGTGGATCTTCTGGAACTTAAACAATATTGGAAAAAGTCTTTGAATATAAAATAATTTCCATTAGCATTTCCAATAACCACATATCAGATAATTAATTTTGAACATGAACATTAAATACTCTGAAGGAAAGATACATTAAAAGCACATCTCATGAAAATGACTTATTTTTATTTCATTTCTTTTTTAAGGTAATGCTTGCAAAAGGTATCAAAAGAGCTGATAGTATACGAATAATCTTGAAAGACAAAGGTGGTAGGGATTTTACCAAGTTTAGCATGGACTTCATAGTGATTTAGATTACATACAAAAGATGCTCAAATATGATTGTGATGCTTAGCAACAGAGCTCATATTGGGTATGTTTTTCTTCCTTAAACAGGTTCTTTTTTCATATGGAAAATACATCATATTGAAGATTTCTGAGAGCACTAAAGATAAACATTACCATCCAAAAAGGTAAACCTGGAACCAATTATACTTGCAAAAACATTGCATACTTGAGTAATTTTCTTTTTTCACGAAACTATTCACATAAATTAGATAAATCCCATACTCAAGTGATTATGGAATCCGATCCCTGTCCTTTCTAAAGTATGCCCTACTGTATTGATAAGTTAATGAGAGATTACTATTGAGATGAAAATCTGAATCCAAAGACAACTGAAGGAGGTGGGATTTTTTTATACCCATATAGAGTAAAAACAAACTTGATTTTCAAAAATGTTGCATACAGAAGTAAACTTATGCAAACTGCTTGATATAAATTTCTACAAAATCAGGTCTTAATATGTCATATGTGAGATTTAAGCCAGTATGGATATATAGACTGATCCTGTAAACAAATATGCAAGTTAACTAACATACTACTCTTAAAAAGTACTATTGTCTTTTGTAAAAACTAATGTACAAATGAAAGAAATAAAAAATACTGTCATTCCTGAAAGGTATGCTACAGATTGGTCTGTATTCTGAAGTATCATTTTAAGAGTCCACTTTTTTTTTAAGGTTCAAATATTTTTCTCTTTGCAGAAGTACCCTCCCCTTGACAGCCATCCCAGCAAAGGAAATGTTTGCATGCTGAGTTTTCAAAAAATATTTATAATGAAGAATTTTAGAATACTTTAAAGAAGTAGCCTCTTTCAAAAATCAAAGCAAAAAAGGTATCATCTTTGTTAGGAAAGCAGGAGAGCTTCAGTACAGCTCAGAAAGTTCTGGTTGGAAGGGACAAAAATAATTTTTAGCATTTTAAAGTGGAACATCAATGAGCTGTACAGTAGGGACATATATCTTCTTCATCTGTATGGCCAGATGGGCATGACAACAACACTCTGTCATTCTCCTGTGTGAGCAGGAAAGTGGTATTTGAAATAAATACATTCTCCATCTTCCCACCTGCTATCACAAATTGTAATCTCTCAATTCCTCTCCCCCAGTTCTCATTTCAGACACCCCAGTGGAGGGCTGAAATGTGAGGTCTTGTCCATAAGAGAAACTGGCAACTTGGAGGGGGTGGCTAGCATGACACTAAAGAGATTCTTACAGGAAACAAGACATCTGGATAAGGGAAGTGGATTTCAGTAATTACAGAGTGACTGGATGATGGTGCTTGATATTGGGGGGAGGAGGTGTTACAATTATTGCAAAACATTCCTAAATCATCATTTTACCGGATAGCCTATATAGATCAATACAAACTTTAGCATGTAAAAAATTCTTTCCCGCTGAAGGAAATGAAAGGTAAGAAAATAAAAATAATATGAGGCAAAAAGGCTACTAATTCATCATGCCTTCCTAAGAAATAACCAACCAGCATAATTGCCAGCCTCCAAAACATGCAGTACTCGCATGGGAGCACCTTAACAAGCACCTGAATGCTCATAAGATGAAGATCTAATAGAGGTGGATCCAGAAGCTTGAGTGTGTCAGTGTGCTATTAAGAGGAAGGACTTACTGAGGTTTGGGTCATGAGGGTTGACTGCGGGTGTGCTGGTGGGCTCTGAGCACACCACACATCCACTCACACTGACCAGTAAGCCAACCTCCCTTTTCCCAGACCATGCTTTAATGGATAAACCCTGGCTGTACAGGTTTCAGGTAGGCAAGGAAGATCATGTCTTTCAAACAGATGACATCTTTCTGTGTATTTGGCAGAACTAAACCCCACTGCACAAGTTTTTCATCATTTGTCAGGGTTTTCTTATTACCAGTGCACCTATCCTAGGATGGTAACAGAGTGAAATATAAACTGGAAATTAGCTCTGATATTGTTAGAACAGAAACTATTCAAAACTTAATTAGCCCTAGAAAGAACAGCAAACTAAGGATATTTTGCAATTCCAACAGTGCTAGGAGACAAATAAATTTCTTTTAATCTAAACAGTGCTATGAATTCTGGATGTATGAAAGGGGAACACAGTAATATCAAATGGTGTCTGGCAAAAGAATTAGCTACTGGCAAACAGAAAGCCAGAATAACATTCATCTAGAACACCTTTTTGGTATGGCTCTATTAATAATGTTGCCCACTGCCTACCTAAGCCATTATAAACTCCTGCTCCTGGACAATCTTAATTTCCAATGTTAACTTCTCAGTGCATTGCATGCAATCCAAAATCAACTTTCCTAATGTTTAAAAATTTCTTCAGCACTCAACAACTTTCTGCAATGGGTCCAGACTGAGGAACCATGGGACCCAAGTTTTCTTTATACTGGTTATTTTTCCACAATGACAAAGAAACTGTAAGTGCATTGCTATGTATACAATACACATACTTTCTGAATATCATGGCTGACATGTTTTCTGTTTATCTGTATTATTAATTCTCCTTCCATTGTGGTATTAATCGCTGTTATTAAATTAACCTCAGTTTTTCATAAAATTTGATCTGTCCTGAGCACACTTTGGTATCTTTGACTTTTAATAATTACTGAACTCCCACTCATTGTACCTTATTAGACACATGAAGTTATATACATTTCCAGTTGATTCCATCAGGTAAAATTAAGTAATCACGTAAGTACAAGAGTATGACACAGATGAAGACACATTCAGAGTGAAGTATCTGGCAACATAACTTCAAACTGATATTTTGAAGTTCTCAAATAACTCTGAGAACTTAATTTCCATTTGACAGCAGTATATACCTGATTCTGGTGTCCGGACAATTGCACTGTCAATGTAACCTGCTTCTGTGGTAACTGCAGAGACTTCAAAAAGATAGGTTGTATATGGCCTAAGGTTTGTTATAACAAAACTAATTGGTTCATTCCAAACAGAGCTCATTTGACTCGCTGCTTCTGTACTTGGTGTAACTGTAGTCCGTGAAGGAATTGTGGATTTGCCAAAAGTAGTTGAAGGAGTGGTAGTACTCCACAAAAATGACTCACTGTTATCCTATAAAGACAAAATATGACATATGATAAGCTGGATCTATAACCTATAATTGCAACTATATACAGATCAAAAAAGGCAGATCACCTTTGAAACAAAATCACCGAAAGTTAGTTCTCCTTTTTATACTGCAATCTCCAAATTTAGGTTGTCATTTCATTAGTTGACATTGCTAGTACATCCTGTTAGTGACAGCATTATAGTTTCTTGCCTTATCCCAAAAGTTCTCAAACCTGACTGAACAGAAGCGACTCAGTAGGCTTCATTTAATTATTCACAGATTCCATTTTCAGCATTCAATCTCTCTTAAAAATAAGACCCCTAGTAAGGTCTTTCTACATCAGATACATGTTACATGTATGTATATATACATATATAGCATACATATACCAATATATAATGGGTAAAACTAGACAGGGGTTTCCTAATCCATACTGTCAGGAGACACCTCCAAAAAACTGCTAGATATTACAATAACCAATGCTTGTGATTCAGTAGGTGGCAGTCTCTCTTCTCAGTGCAGAATTAAATCAGTCTGATGTTGGGAACCTTCACAATACCTAAGATGATCTTCTAAATAAAATCTGAAACCAAAGGCCTGATAATTTTTATCATTTAAAACTGCAATTTTCATTAAAGTACTAAATCTATTATCCTGGAGAAAAAAAAAGAAAAAAAAAGAAAAAAAAAAAAAAAGAAAAAAAGAGGGAAAAAAACCCATTAGGCAACTTGACATCTAAGTAATCACGGCACTCTGCTTAGAATAAAGAGGAAAAGGAGAATAAACACTGGAAAAGATAATTTTCTTCAAGAAATTCTGAAAGGTATACATTGGTTACAGGTCTGAATTCAATGAGTATTCAAAGTTCAGAAACTTTTCTATGAATGCTTATTTTAAGAACAGCTCAGGCTATAAACATTTTTTTTACAAACCACTGTTAACCGTGGGTCTTTTTATTTTGTTATGAAAAGTATTTAAATAATGTTCAAATGTGATACACAGAATAAAGAATACATTTGAAATATAAAAAGCATTATCATACTACGTATAAAAATAAGGTAGAAACATTACTATATGTCTGCCTTGACCAAAAAAACCCCACCATTCTTGCATTTTCTAATTGAATTCTGTAAAAAACAAAAATAAAAAATTGAAAGCTGAAAAAAATTCAAAATTATCTATTTCATTATTTTCTGCTAAAAGGATATCAAATTGACCCTTTCTTAACATTTTTACTTTAATTAAATTGAGCTTTTCAAGGAAAAGTATTCCATTTAAACTATTTTGGACAGAAAGATTTTTCTTCAACCACTATATCCTGCCTTAGACTTAAGTTTGTAAAATATTTGAGATTGTTCTGAAAAGTAGGTCTCCAAATTTTTTATGTTTCAAAATTCAAATGTAAAACTATATTCTGTGGCTTGAGTCTACTTCTAATTTAAAAGGTTTATAGCACTTACATTACATTCTGGTAACCTCCCAGACAGAAGGTCCTCTACTTTAACCAAGACATCTTTCACTACAATTCCACTTCTTGCATGTTTCACACTAATCTTGAAACTAGTTATCTTTCCATTTGGTTGCCGAGGAAGAAACCAGATCAGATTTACAGCTGAATAATTTAAGGCTTCAACTGTGAGATTCACTACTTTACCTGGAGCTTGAAAACAAAACAAACAAAAGCAGTGAGACATACTTTTCTCCTCAGCACTGGAAAAAAAAAATAAAAATTCCCATTTCTTTTTGTAATGCCATTTCTAGCTTCCAAACCCTGAAGCAAATAAATAACAACCATTCACAAACACATGTAAAGTAGCTGGTTGCATATCAACCAGCTTTTCCAGTCTAGTTTAAGTGAGAAATGTAATTATTTTGGTCTCATAATAATAAAGTAATTGGTTTGGTCAACTTAAAAATATTCTTCCTAGAAGCAACTCAGCTACTGTGTAAGAAGTAGTAAATTTTTGGCCATTTATATTTATTGTATTAAGAGCATATGACAGCACTGAGTGTTTCATTTCACTTTACCCATGACATCTTTTCAGCTGGATATAGATTTTTGGCAGCTTTAAAGAGCTCAGTTTGATTTGATTATTCACTATTACTGCAGAAATGGTGTTCTTTGTATTAGTTTCTGGGGCCTTTTGTCAGAGCATCTGTATTAATCACAGCACAAAGGAATGGGTTGCAGCATCTAAATGATATTTTATATGCTATCTGAACTTTCCTGTGAATTAGAGCACTGTGGCTCTCTCTCAGTCCTGTGTGCATGTCATGGTCAGTAGCAGTTCCTGCAATAGCTGGCCTTAGAACTAAGGAGAAAAGTGTTATGCTGCCTTAAAAATGCACAACTATCCACAATGACACATCTTCCACAGGTGAATTGAGAGCTCCTCCAAGCCTCATATTCAGCTCTTGCTTAGGCCCTGCTGAATCTTTTGAATAGCTTTCATCCTCTTCTCTCTACTCCAAGACGACAGCCTTTATATTTAAATAATTATATCTTCCCTACTTTAAACTGTACCTCTTCATGTTGATAAAGATGGGGTTTCTTTAACCATTAAAGCAAGAGTTAGAAACAAAGGAAGTTCAGAAGGTAAAAGCATAAATGTAGTATCAGTGACACCTAGATTTTGAAGAAACCTTCTAATTGCATTTATAATAAAGGACCTTAACTTTAGTAAACATGTAAGCAGAAACGTATCAAAAAGTAAAAAGCTAATGTTCTCACATGGAGAAACACTGATGGCTCTGTCAAACATCAGTAAACAAAGCTTAAGGAAATAGTTTTCTACCAGCAATAACATACAAAGAATAGTTATCAACAATTATTTTGCATAGCTCCGCATGGCAAGTTTACTACCCCTTTTCATGTTTGGTTTCATTGCACTATCCCAGAAGTCTGATGCAGAGTGGTGACTTTCTGCCATTAACTGAGATTTGGCACTCTCTATTTTGCACAGCTGCAGAAACCAACAAGGAGTCCTAAACACAGAGGGATGGCCACTGCCACAGCAGCACAAATTTTATATTCCAGTAAGACTTGTTCATCCCAACTAACTGTCCTGGTGTTAGCTCTTCAGCCAAGGCTCAACTGCTCCCGGAGTGTGAGCAAGACTACAAACCTAAATTAATAAAGATTATGCAAAAGTAGACTATAATTATCATTTTTTAATCTCCAAAACCATCAAGTCAAATTTTAATTTCAGACATGTATTGTAATTTTTTTTCTTCAGAATTAAGAAATAAAAAGTTAGTAAAATACATTTTGAACTTCATAGAGAAGGAACTTAGGTCCAGCACTATACAAATATGGCTTGGCATAAGTAGGCAATGCAAACAAAGTCTGTCTCCTAGTACTGCTGCAAGCAACAGCAGATGAGTCCACTTGATAGGTAGCTCTGCTCTCCTGTGACCTTGCTTTCTGAAAGTAGCCTACCTAGAAAGTTGCATAGGAAAACCCCAACAGAAACAGACTTTGCATATGAGAAACCCCCATATATGCACACCCTAAATGCTGCTACTAGTAAATAGGACAAAATGCATGTTTTCCACTGAATGAGAGAATAATGAAAGAATCAGGATTTTGTTCTAAATGCATTAGGATTTGTACAAGTAAAAAAAACGTGTCACAGATATTTTATTTGAGCAAATTAGAGCAGCTTTAATTAAAATAATTAGCAGCTTTATTGAAATTACCACTTTCTGCAGTCTGAAAAAGAAAAGGCTCACTAAATACTCCAACACCTGCACTGTTCTCAGCAGCAACCTACAGAAAGAAAAAAAAAGTCACATTACATATTCTGTAGGACATAGTTTCAGGGACTATGGATACCTTAATGTTACATAGATTCACTTTCTAGCTTTTAAACTATAAATATACAAATGAACATGCCTTTTATAGCTGTATTGTTTAATTTATACTCAACATTTAAATGTGAAAAAATAAAATGAAAAAAATTATGAAACAGTGTAAGAAACTGAGAAAACCACCTTGAATATCCACAAAGGTGCTGAGTCCCTATGTTATGCTAAAGTCAACAGCACGAATAACATCAGTAACACTCCTTTTCCTTACTACAATTCCCTTAAACCAGCTTCTGTACTCCTATTCTACTTGTACTATAACTTCAAAGAGTACCAAGGAAAATGGGTTCTCTTTTATTTCTTGAACTCCCAAAGGATAGCAAGAGCAGGTCAACCTCCCTCAAAGCAGAAACCCAAGGAAAGCATGTCTTTTGTCAGAAGACAACAGGTCAGGGAACTGTGGATGCACTTTATGGTGGATGTGCCTCAGTGCTCATGATCATAGCAGAGACTTCCTGCAGAAGGGCATTCCATTGAGACTTTTGTAGAATTTATGGAGATAAACAGAACAACAGTGCTATTTGCTCTGCAGTATAGGACTTACTGACAGTTCTACTCAGTGATGGGCCATGGCATGCAATACTTACAAAGAAAGAGGAATGAAGTCTGACTTCTTATTTTGAAAAGAAGTGACAGAGACAACAAAAAGTAAAACATGAGCAAAATTCCAACATTGAAGGTGAGAGGTGTATGAAAGAAGCAGTAAATTTAAAAGCTCTCCAGCAAGGTTAAAGTTGGCAGAGTCATTCCCTTCTGCCAGTTACAGATAACAAAGGTATGGAGGTGGTGCTGAGGGAGCTGACAGTGCAGACTGTGGGGAGAGTTTGGGGAGAAGGGGAAGATGGGCAAAACTAGTATGTGGATCATAGCAGAAGTAACAGACAGCACACAGGGGATAACGAAGGGCAAAGAGAGTGGAAGGAGTCAGCAGGTCAGAAAGGAAAACTGTTCTAATCACTTCTCAGGACTAAACTGTGCATCTTTCAGAAGACTGTAAAGCTATTTAAACAAAAGCACTAAGCCATGGCAGACAAACTACAACAAAGAAATGTGAGGTCACATGGAAGACTTAATCTAGGATACAAAAGGATGCATATGTCTATGACCACATTCCAGTGCAGTGCATGCTCTGCTTGGTGATGGAAAATCTGTGTCACTGGCTAGCTCCTTCCTAAGCCACACAAACACCCCCCCTCCATGCATTCACACCTCATGACTCCGGCCAACTCTACATACTTCTGTGTCACAGAGAGAATAACTTGAAACAGCCTTAAGCATTAAGTAATTGCAATAGCTGAGGAAATTACCTGGAGATCATAGAATCATAGAATAGTTTGGTTGGAAAAGACCATTACAATCATCTAGTCCCACTGTAAACCTAGCATTGTCAAGTTCACCACTAAAGCATGTCCCCAAGTACCACATCTTCACATCCTTTAAATACCTCCAGGGATGGTGACTCCACCACTTCCCTGGGCAGCCTGTTCCAATACTTGACAACCCTTTCAGTGAAGAATTTTTTCCTAATATCCTCCGCTGACACAACATAAGGCTGTTCCCTTTTGTCCTATCACTTGTTATTTGGGAGAAGACACCAACACCCACCTCACTACAACCTCCTTTCAGGTGGTTGTAGAGAGCAATAAGGTCTCACCCCAACCTCCTCTTCTTCAGACTAAACAATCCCAGTTCCTTCAGCCACTCCTCATAAGACTTGTTCTCCAGGTCTTTAACCAGCTTCATTGTCCTTTGCACAGGCTCCAGCACCTCAATGTCTTTCTTGTAGTGAGGGGCCCAAAACTGAACACAGTACTCGAGGTGTACTCACCAGTGCCGAGTACAGGGGCACAATCACTTCCCTACTCCTGCTGGCCACACTGTTTCTGATACAGGCCAGGATGCTGTTGGCCTTCTTGGCCACCTGGGCACACTGCTGGCTCATGTTCAGCCGGCTGTTGACCAACACCCCCAGGTCCTTTTCTCCCGGGCAATTTTCCAGCCACTCCTCCTCAAGCCTGTAACGTTGCATGTAGTACTTGTGACCCAAGTGCAGGACCTGTCACTTGGCCTTGTTGGACCTCATACAGTTGGTTGCCGCACATTGATCAAAACT